TCTTTATCACTTTATTCTTTAACATGTGGTTCAATTCAATTACTTCGTATTTTTTTAAAAACAAAAAAAATTCGCTTCGTGACCCTACCTTGTCTAATTTCTACCTGCGGATCACCAAACCTTATGTTGAAAAAGCAATTTCATTCTTGCAATAAATTATTAAATTTATACATAAAGTGGGTTGGGTTGGGTTGGGTTGGGCTGGGCGCGGCGGACCGACCGGGGGTGTGATCGATTGCCTGAGCGAGATTTACGATCTCCGAAGGCGTTCCCTTCGGCGCACATAAGGCCGTATTATCAATTTACGACGACAAAAATGTAAACTATGATTTTATTTGATATTCTGATCAAAAATGCTTATGTGGAGCCTATTTCATAATTATCTTTCAGAAAAATACCTAATTAGAGTTTGTTGGTATCAGGTGCTTATAGTATGTTCTAATTAAAAAAAAGCAGTTCAAAGTCAAATTGTTTATTAGGGTGTTAATGAATGATGTGCAAATATTTCAGGAGGTGGTAGTACTAGACAAAATAAGAAAAAAATGCCAATATACATGTGGCCTCAAAGGCGTTATTTTCGATATACAGGGTGGAAAAGTTTCAATTATTTTTTCGAATTTTGCGTTTTTCTCCAGTATCTTCTGAAATAATTGTTTCAAATTTGATACATTTATTCTCTTTTAGAATCTCTATAAGAAAATATCAATACCGTCTATGGCAGTACACAGGGTGCTCATTTTTTTAGTGTCCGATCCATATACGTTCCGGAACCTTTTCTTTTTGAATACCCTGTACAGATTCTGATATCATATTCCAACTACCTGTCCTTTTATTCGCCTTTTTGGTGTTTTGGATTATTATCGAATTTGTTTGGGTTATTTGCATATCATTCATTAACACCCTGTATAGTTTGAATTAGTAACATAAGTACATAATGTACAATTTTGATTAAAACATTATTTTATATAATATTATTGTTGGTTAAGTCCATCATAACACGTTAAAAAAAGTTTTTTTAACGTGTTGACTGTGTTGCTTAACGTGTTACGATTTTAATATTTAATGTTAATTTTACTTCTAATGTCTGATGTAATCTTGTTTAATTGAAAATTTTGACAAGCTCTCCGAAGACGGCTAGGTAGCCGAAACTAGTAAGAGCAAATAAGTAAAAATCACCGGAGTATACGAAAACAGATTTTTCAATTTACTATTATTTTATATGCACATCCTCATCATCGTTATTATCATCAGACTCCTGATCACCATTACCTTCATCATCATCACCAAAGTAAGTATGTTGCCTTAGCATGCTTAATACAACTTCATTGAATTGGGTTTTACTTTTTTTTTAGTTTTTTTTCGATTATTTGTCACATTAGGGTCCGAAGATACAAGCATCCAGTTAAAAATGTCAGTATTGGTGTTGATCCTTGAAGTTTTTCGGGAGTGATATTGTCTCAATTTTTTGTACTCTTTGTGGCCTGTCGCAATTACGTCTTCTGATAATTGACTCACTGGCAAAGGTAAAGATTTTATGATATCAGCTCCATGTATTAATAGTTTGTGAACACTGGCACTCATTTTGTACCAACCATAAAGCGACACAGCGATTTGTGCTGTTTCTAAACAATAGTTTTTAAATATATCTTCTTTAATGTAGTGCCCACAAGAAATGATGGACAGTATATTTGGAAATCTTTCTATTAATTTTTTATCGATTCCTGTTATTTGGGAAACAAGCAAAGGATTCTTAAAAAATTTCCGCGCTGTGTTTCCGTCGTTACTATTACCTCCACCTTGTTTTGGCTGATCAACTACGAGGTCCAATTTCTTATAAAATTCGGCCGCTATTTGAATTTTTCTTTCCTTTACTTTTTCTTTGTCATTTTCGCCCCTTGCTTGCCACTTCTGTAAGTCCAATTTATATGCTATATGCAGTAAATATTCATAGCATCTAAGATGTGCATAAAGTATGGAAATTCTATATTTAAATGTGTCTTCATAACAGATTCCGTTCTTTAGTTTCTCTAGATCATTTAAATCTTTAGGAGTAGCCTTACACACATTGCACTCTTGTGAACTTGAAGTATCAGTCAAAATGTTGACTGTCTTTCCATCCAGCATCGTACATATGGGAATATCTATAAATTTTATTTGCTTAGTTCCTAGAACGATTATCGTGGGCTCCAATTTCAATATTTGTGTTTGTACTTCGTTATATTCTTCTTTTACATTTTGGACATTTTCTTTCTTTATTTTAAATCCAATTGGACGGCAATACCTTGTCGATGATGGTGTCGTATTCTTCCAATATATTTTTCTGTTACTGCCATTAGATTCACACATTTGTAGTGGCACGATCGTACACAAAATTATATTGGAATCCGCATATTCCGAATTATTGGCGAAATTTTGTTTGTAAATACTGTGTCCACCGCTGCCATCTAAGCCCCATTTATAATAAATTTCGATAGTATCACAGTCCTCCGAAATATTTTGAAGTATTACATCACCCTGCACTTGTGCTAAACGTTGCGTAGTATGTATGAGAAGATCTATCACTGGTACCACAGCCTCGTTCTCAGTTATCATAATATTTGTTGGATAACACTTCCTGTTTGTCTCTGCTATCACATGATATGAGGGATAAATATCAGCCCCTCTTTCTTTTGCTCCAAGTCGCATCGTTATGTAATCCTCTTTTGTCAACTCAAGATCCACAATAAGAGCTAAAGCTTCTTCAGGGCTGTACGGTCTTATATTAGCAAAGGATGACGTATTTTGCACCTTTTTCATTTTTTTTAATGTGTTGGGCGAAGATTGTATTGCTAATTTCACAACCTGGGCTGCAGTTCTTTTGCCTGATTTCACCAAGCTTGATTCTGCAGCCAAGCACAGTGTTTCTGAACAGAGATTTGATACAATTGGTTCAACATGTCGTTGCTTACTGCGTTGAGAGCTCTCTTCGAATAATTTTCTTGGCCTACCTCGCCTCTTTGGTGCTGTTGCTGGAAGCTGTGGTGGCTGTATGTCCGGGAGTTTCAAGTCTTGATTAAGCCATTTCATATGCTTGTTGTTAAAACGCTCGTACATATAATTACAACCTCGCCATTTCGTCATAACCTTCGTAACAAACACTTTGACCACAAGTTTTATTTGTTTTGTACAATTTTCAGAAAGTTCACTAATGCTAAACTTGTCCAATATATACTGTAATAATTTTATTGTTCATTACACTTTAATGACGATAACTTATAAAACTGTTTATTTTTTAACACTATAAACAGTTCTTTTCTCTTAATCTTTATTTTCATTAAAGCGGGGTCGCCACAACCTGAAAAATACCCTCTATTTAACGAAGGGGGAAACAAGGGGACTTCTATTTTATTTTTTGATGTTATTTATAAGATATTTTTTTGAACTAGTAAAAAAAAATTGGTGTACTTTTTGGAACTTTTTATATAACTCTAGCTAAAGTTGACATTTCAAAATTTTTTGAAGAAAATAATAAATGTTATATAATGTGCATCATATCTAAACTACGAACAACTGTTAAGTTGACAGTAGTGGCAGGTTAAAGTACATACCTGACGTTTCAATATCCATATTGAAAAACTAACGATTTTAAATTTAGGAAAATATTACGGACGTAATTACTCTGTCAACAATTCACGCGTAACTAAGTGTATTCCCTGTGCAAAAGATAAGCCAATTTTGCGCACACGGGTAGGATATTCTGTTACGTTAACAAAAAAAAATTTTACGGTTCATGTCTGACTAGATTATAATGAACATTTTGAAGATATTTGTGATTAGTTTAAAGATAAAACTTATATCTATTTTTGTCGTCGTAATTTAGTTATTTGTCCTTATGTGCGGCGTTTACTAACACGCCATTGGTGATCTTAAACCGTTCTCCTGCGGTTATTATAAACATTTCGGAAAAATTTTATTAGAAAGATCGCTTCAGAATAATGTATCCTACAACCGCATAATGCTCTGATGCGGAAGATACGGGACACCTGTATATGTTCTCCAGTTATTTACCACATCAAAGTTGGCATCTAGGAATTTGTTGGCATTAACATATGAATCGAATTCTATTGCTAATCTATTTTTCCCTCTTTTTTCAACGAGTTTTACACCAGGTATCATCAGGTCATAGAAGTATTTCCCTATTTTCATATCGCTTAAAGCCGTAATATTTTTGTCGATAGATTCAATGTAGACGATGAAAGGAGCCGAATCCATATTGGAGAAGCGAAAGTTGTTAAAATTATATGAAAAATTATCAAATAGACATCCTTTATCTGCTAAGATTCTTTTCCCAAGGTTAATAGTATCGTCCGCAATAATTAATTTTTCTTTATCATTGATCTGTATGCAACCACGCTCAATTGCCAATTTACATTGTGCGGCGTTTAAATTAATGTGTTCAAATGTTATAGAATCAAGAAGATTGATTATGTTTGCCTCAATATATCTCACAAACTCAAGAGCATCTTTAAGATTAATTTCCCCAGCACAACTAAGCTTTACGTCACCACGAACTGTCGGAAAGTGAAAAAAAATAGATTGTTTTAGCTTTAATTCGAGACATAAATCAATTCTTAACTCCTTAAAATGAGATCGACACGATTTTTTTAAATTTTTACATTTTTTGACATAACCCAACTTGACAGATGATTTTGTATGTTCTTTTTCGGAAAACTTTTCTTATAAACCTCATTATTTTTAAACCACACCTTAAAATAGATAGTTTTACCTCTAATTTGAGATATAAATCATTTCTTAACTCCTCAAAATCAGGTCCACATGTTTTTAAATTTCAACATTTTTTGACATAACCTTGAGAGATTTTCTTGTACGTTCCTTTTCTTGCAACCTTCTGCATTAATCCAGTGAACAACATGGGATTCTGGGTATTCATTCATATAGGAATATAGGAATGTGCGGTATTGACTGGATTGGTGGATCTACAAATTAAATTAACATAAATATTTAAGACTTTCTTTTCCATATATTTTAAAATAAGACATCAATAAATAAACTTAAAATAAACCAAAAAAAAATTAACACCTTCAAACTTGATCATTTCTGGTTCGAGTATAAATCAAAATAACATCCTCATCAGTACCGTAACTTTTTCGGGCATCCTCAAACGTTTCCAGCGACATTATACACAATCGATCCTGAAACGACGGATTCCGATAATAAATTTTTTGCGTGATCGTGTTGTAACCGCACACGACAACGTAATGCCCCTGATAAGGAACCGGCCACGGGATACACTTCCTAATCTCCGTACAAACCTTGTTGAATTTGCACCGCTCGCAATTAAGAAGTTGCGCGTTCGTCAACATAATCACGGGCCCATCCTTTAAATGGCTAATTAAGAAGTTCGCCGAAACCGAAGCTTTGCGGATTTGTAGGCCGTATAAATGAGCTTTTTCGAATTTGCGGTTTACACGTTTTTCATCCTAAAACAAAAATGATTGCATACAAAATTCTTTACTAATAAAAATCATTAATAACCTTTGTTAGAACACTTTGGTAGAATGAGTTTCCTCTGTAACCGGGGTGAACTCCTAAGGTGGTTGTGTAAAATTTGTGGGGGACGTCGAAACGTTGTAAGACGTAGCAAAGATCTATGGTCCATGTACTAAAAACAAAATCTTAACTCAACAAAAGATAAAAAGAAAGAATAATAAGATTAAAAATATTTTATTGATTCTGCCATTCCCGTGAAGAATTATTGAGATGTTTTATGTCGAATAAAATCATTTTGACACACACCAATCAAAATTTTCTATCTTTTGGGTATCTTTGAAACACTTTCAGATAAGTTTAAAATCATTTTACTGATTCTACCGATCTCCTTAAATGTTATAACGATGTTTTATGTCGATTAAAATCATTTTGACACACACCAATCGAATTTTTCTAGTTTTTGGGAACCTTTGAAGCATTTTCGGATAAGTTTAAAATCATTTTACTGATTCTGCCGATCCCCTTAAATGTTATAAAGATGTTTTATGTCGATTAAAATCATGTTGACACACACCAATTAAATTTTTCGGTTTTTGGGTATCTTTGAAACACTTTCAGATAAGTTTCAAATCATTTTACTGATCCTGGCGATCCCCTTAAATGTTATACAGATGTTTTATGTCGATTAAAATCATTTTAACACACACCAATCATAATTTTCTAGTTTTTGGGTATCTTTAAAACACTTTCAGATACGTTTAAAATCATTTCATTGATTCTGCCGATCCCCTTAAATGTTATAAAGATGTTTTATGTCGATTAAATACATTTTGAGACAATTTTTCTATTTTTAACTATTTTTGAAACACTTTCAGATAAGTTTAGAATCATTTTATTGATTCTGGCGATCTTCTTTAATGTTATAAAGATGTTTTGTATTGATTAAAATCATTTTGACACACAACAAACATTTTTTTCTATTTTTTGGGTATCTTTGAAACACTTTCAGATAAGTTTAAAATCATTTTATTAATTCTGCCGATCTCCTTAAGTCTTATAAAGATATTTTATGTCAATTATAATTATTTTGACACACACCAATCACATTTTTTTAGTTTTTGGTATCTTTGAAACACTTTCAGATAAGTTTAAAATCATTTTACTGATTTTGCCGATCCCCTTAAATGTTATAAAGATGTTTTATTTCGATTAAAATTATGTTGAGATACACCAATCGAGTTTTTCCATTTTTTTGGTATCTTTGAAACACTTCCAGATAAGTTTAAGATCATTTTATTAATTCTGCCGATCTCCTTAAATGTTATAAAGATATTTTGTATCAATTAAAATCATTTTGACACACACACAAATCATATTTTTTTAGTTTTTGGATATCTTTGAAACACTTTCAGATAAGTTTAAAATCATTTTACTGATTTTGCCGATCCCCTTAAATGTTATAAAGATGTTTTATTTCGATTAAAATTATTTTGAGACACACCAATCGAGTTTTTCCATTTTTTGGATATCTTTGAAACACTTCCAGATAAGTTTAAGATCATTTTATTAATTCTGCCGATAACCTTAAATGTTATAAAGATGTTTTATGTCGATTAAAATCATTTTGACACACACCAATTGTATTTTTCTAGTTTTTGGGTATCTTTGAAACACTTTCAGATAAGTTTAAAAGCATTGTATTGATTCTACCGACCTCCTTAAATGTTATAAAGATATTTTATGTCGATTAAAATCATTTTGAGACAATTTTTCTATTTTTAGCTATTTTTGAAACACTTTCAGATAAGTTTAAAATCATTTTATTGATTTAGCCGATCTCCTTAAATGTTATAAAGATATTTTGTATCAATTAAAATCATTTTGACACACACAAATCATATTTTTTTAGTTTTTGGATATCTTTGAAACACTTTCAGATAAGTTTGAAATCATTTTATTAATTCTGCTGATCCCCTTAAATGTTATAAAGATGTTTTATGTCGATTAAAATCATTTTGAGACACACCAATCAAATTTTTCGATTGTTTGAGTATTTTTGAAACACTTTCAGATAAATTTAATCATTTCATTAATTCTGCCATTCTCGTTAAGTGACTTACGCCAATAGACTCTCTCATGTTCCAAAATTTCTAAACTTTCTGGGAAACAGCTTTTTAATTATTTTTGCCATTCTCGTTAAGAATTGATTGAGATATTTTTAGTCGTTTAGAATTAACTTAGATTTTGAGTTAAAGATATTTTAAAGTTATTGTTACAAGATATTACAGATATCTTTAAAGATTTTTGAAAATAGCGCCATCTAGTACACAATGACGAAACTAACTACCTAACAGATCTTTATTAAGCAAAACAAGAATTATTATTAATCTTAACTTATTATTAATACTTTACCTCTTATTAAATCCTTCTTCCTTACAAATAGCATTAAAATTTTCTAACAATTTCTCTCGATCCGCCTGAGGGAGGATCATCAAAACGCAAGATAGCCCACAATCCCAATTAAATCGTTGTTTGTAGTGGGAAAGGGCGATTTGTAACGAATCTGGTTGACCAGCTGGAAAAAAGACTTAAATTAGTATTAATTAATTAAAATAAATTAACAATACCGGGTTGTCTAAAATATCTCCCCATCTCTCCGAACCCTAACCTCAAACGTTCACCTCTCTCAACCTATATTTTGAGTTTTTTATCGCATCTTTAACCACCGATGACGATATCAATCAGAGATAATCTAATCGACGCCAATTAATAATATTGGATTCCCCGAAACCTCTCGTTTCAGCACAAACCGATAAAATCATGTTTTTAATTGTTATGATTATGACAGTTTTAATCAGTTTGACATGCGCTAAAAATTAAGTTGGAGTAACTCGATTATAGATGGCGCTCATTCATATTTTAATTTTAATTATTTTAATTTTTATTTTATTAATTTTATTTAAAGTATAAATTGAACAAATTAATAGAAACTTACCCGTTGTTTCAAATCGTTCCTCCATAATAAACCGTCTAAATCAGACTGAGTAAATCGTCGTTCACCCTGAAAAAGAGAGGTTAAGGTCTGCATGTTTATTAAATTAAAATCAAATATCTACAAGTTCATTGCCAGTTTTGCGACTTTTCCTTTTCTTTTTTAAGTTAAGTGACCATGAGCTCAATTTGAATAGGTCAAAAATTGTTACATAATTATTAAGAAATCATTATCAACGAGCTGTTATTGTTTTATATGGTATTAGGTAGATGGCGTTAATAGTAAGGTTGATAAAAAAGAGACATACATAGTAAAAGTTGTTGTAATCAGTAATAAACGCTTGTTAAGTTGTATAATAAAACTAAGTAGTGTTTAATTAACGAATATAAGACAGTTATTTAGAAGAATAAATAACCAAAACAAAGTTTTATTTAATACTTTAATCACCTTTGCTATTATTTTGCAACATAACCTCACTTTTATTTTTCTTACTTTAGATACAGCTTTAGTATACTTTATTATTGATACTTACAGCATTATACGAAGAAATACTTTAGTGTGAATCTAAATAACACCTCAAATTACCCCTAAATCTTCTTTACGATTTATAAGGATCTGAAATGTTAGTTGGAAAATAAGTGAGGTTATGTTTATAAGGAATCTAATGTTTATAACAAATTTATTTTAGAGTAAAGAAATAATAATAAAATGGTTTTAATCGGTAACAAATTACATTTAAAAACTAACACTTATCGTAATATTTCTATTTTTATCTTAATAATGTAAGAAAATAAACATAACCTTATCAAATTTTAACACCAAAATCTAAATCCAATATTTATCCTAAATTCATTAGAGACAAAATTGCAGAGAAATGGAAAGCAAGAAGGAAACCGCAAACCAATACAATTCCTAGTGATAAAACTAAAATAAATAAAATAGCAGCCGAATTAAGAGCATTAACAGATAGCCACAAACAAAATAATATTCAAAATTATTTAAAAGACTTTACTGACGATGCCAGTACCGATTATTCTCTGTGGAAGACAACAAGAAAACTTAAAGTTCCAAAAACACATACACCTCCAATTCGAAATAATAAATAATAATAATATATCTTTATTGTGCCTTCCACAACTACAAATAACGTACTACATATTTCTATTTAATAATATTAAATTAAAGAAGGAACACAATGGGCGAGTTCCAGACAATGTCTGAATTTGTTGCAAAAAAGAAAACTTGAGAAAGAAAATAAAAGAAAGAAAAAACATATAAAATGAATTATAAAATACTTAATCAACCAAAGGAAAAAAAAGAAATTCATACTGCCTTCACAAATCCCAACATGTCAACGGTAAATATCCCAGCATCAGATATTATTCTCCCCCTTGCTGCTGAAACCTCAGCCACATCAAACTCTTCCTGAATGTACAACTCTGTTCAGATTTAATGCGAATCGTCCGCTGTTAGCTCCGACATGCCGCTGGCACTGGAAGAAGACGGAGACATCTTTTGTTTCTATTCAATTCGATTTCTGAGACTAAAGGAAGAGGGTAAAACCCTTGTTTATAGATATACATAGTTATCCACCCGGTCGAGTTGGGTTGCTTCTAAAGTCCCTAGATTATCAAAGTACCGCGATTCATGAAGCCTGTGTATTCGAAATATTCGAGCCAACATGGCGGTTTGACAGCTTGTCAGTGCATGTTACCGCTTATTTCCAAAAATAATGCCGTCTTGTTGCCTTTGGAGTTGCAAAAATAGCAGTAAGATGGGCTTTCGACTCTTCGGAGTACCACGAGAAAAAAGAAGAAAAGAAATTTACCGTAATTTTATCAACAGAACGACATAGTTTTAAATTTCCCGCTTGACTTTCGAGCCAAAATGGCGACAAACCGCGGTATTTTGATAATCTAGGGACTTTAGGTTGCTCTAAAGTTCCTAGATTTACAAAGTACCGCGGTTCATGAAGCCTGTTTTCGAGCCAAAATGGCGGTTTGACAGCTTGTCACTGTATCACTGTACAAAAATATTGCCGTCTTGTTGCCTTTGGAATTGCAAAAATTGCAGTAAGAAGGACTTTCGACCCTTCAGAATACCACGAGAAAAAAAGTAAGAAAATTTGGCGTAATGTTATCAATAGAACGATATAGTTTTAAATTTCGCGCTTGACTTTTGAGCTCGTGCTGCCTCTAACGGCAAACGAGAAAAACATCATTTATGAATGAATTGAATAAAATTGGAAATCCAACTTGTAGTAGAGGTTGCATACTCAGAATAAAAGATTAATTGAATTTATGTGATTGAACACGAAATTGATTAACATATAAAATATTTAATTACATTAAACATTACATCTAAATATTTTAAAAAATATCTGTCCTTTTTTTATAACAGATTACCAAAAGTGGCCTTGCTAATTATTATTATTATTATAACCTTTATTGTTTTCCGTATAATTCACACAAAAAAAAAATAAAAAGAAATTCACTAAATCAAAATAGTTTAAATCAAATAAGTATAACTAAATAATTAAGGGAACAATATTAAAGGTAATATCCCAGCATTCACTGAGAATACACCACTAATTCTGTCGAACAGAATTGTGAGTGGTTTTTCGAAAAATTTACAATAATTAGTGACCTATAGGCTTTACAATTTACTTAGCTCAGGTATTGTAGTACAGTCATATTTATCTATAAGTAGTAATTAAAAGAAATTGAAGAAAACGCTTACTAATGGAAAATAAGGCAAAATAATTACAGGGAATGCTATTGTAGAATATCACTTAATTTGCCAATATTCGTTAAGGTTTTTAACCATTCTCTCACAACAAAGTTGGTGTTTCTCGAGCTCATAGACTGGTAATGTACTGATATAATATATGTGGCCGGTGATTTTAATACATACTGTAGAATAGATTGGATATAAATTATGTATACTGACATGACATTCGATTTCTGAAAGACCTCATTCGAGGGGAACCTCACACCCACATTAAGCAGAACCTTTAATATTAGCTTTTGCAATGTATATATTTTGCCAATGTAAATGTTTGAAGACCCTCCCCAACCAATAATACCATATCTCATAACTGATTCAGCCATCGCAAAATAGTATGATCTTAAAAATGTGCGTGAGACATGTGGCGATAATTTTTTCATTAAGAACATCACCGATCTTAATTTTTTACAGACAATGTCGACGTGCTCATCCCACCTACAATTCTGATCCAGTGTCACACCAAGATATCTTACAGACCTTCCTTTATGAATCTTCGGATAATGGCAATCAATTGACTGACATGAATCAGCATGCATCACAATAACGTCCACCGACGGTTGTGTACTATTGTATGTAGAGAAAGTTATAAAGTTCGTTTTTGCTAAGTTAAGGGTTAGTTTATTGCTTTCAAGCCATCTTAGCAAAATCCTCAAGTCAGCAGTGGCCAATGAAAATAAGTTTGGCCAAGACATATTTTTGAATAGCAAGACCGTATCGTCAGCATAAGATATCAGTTTACTACTCAAATTAAGCGCCAACAGGTCATTAATATAAATAAGAAACAACATTGGGCCAAGAACCGTGCCCTGAGGAACGCCGCAAGTTAAATTTCCCGGTAAACTAAAACAGGCATTTACTCTTACTTTCTGTGATCGATTTTGTAGGTAAGACTCGAATAATTTGAGGGGCAATCCTCTAACTCCGTAATGTTCAAGTTTGGCTAGTAGCATTTTATGATCAACTGTGTCAAACGCCTGCCGCAAGTCCAAGAACACTGCCATAGTACATAATGAGTCATCAAGGCCCTGATATATGTATTTTGATAATTCCGCGATAGCCGATGAAGCACTTCTACCCTCCCTGAAACCAAACTGAGATTCAGATAAAATATTGTGCTTCACCAGAAAGGCATTAACTCGACGGAAAACAATATTTTCGAAAATCTTTGCAATAGTTGTGATAAGCGCAATTGGTCTGTAATTCTCAACATCTTTTCGCGAGCCTTTTTTATGTATCGGAATTATAATCGCACTCTTAAAAGCTAATGGAACATAACCTTCTAGAAATATTTTGTTAATAATTACGCAGAGTGGCCTCGACAACTCATGTGCAATCTTTTTAATTGTAAACGAACTGAATGTGCCATCGCCGGCACTTCGGTTAGATTTAAGTTGTGAGATCACAGTGAAAACGTCTCCCTCAGTAGTAGGAAAAATAAACAAGGAATCAGGATTGCGGGGTATCACATCTGATAAATCAAATTGAGACAAGTCATCTATTGAATTACTTGCTATATTGAGGAAGTATGAATTGAAAGCATTAGCAATATCAGCATCACTGGTTTGAATACCCGTTTCAGTCTGTAGAGAACCTACTTTTGTATTATCCCTTTGCTTGTTTAACACAACATCAGCCACCCGCCACAATTTCTTAATATCCGCGCCTGAAGAAATTCTTCTAAAATAGTTCGATTTTAAAGATTTAATCAATGAAGGTATCATTTTCTTATAATGTTGATATAACAACATTCTGTATCCATTGGATCACCAATTAAATGGTGAGTTTTAATTTTTTTCGTCCTATTGCAGACTTAATTCCAGACGTGGTAGCGCAGAGCGTTCCTCCACATATCAAACGAGTAGGTAGTATAAACAAAGTTTTTTTGCAACTACTCGAGTTTGGATAAACAATTTCACGTATACAAATTCGTTCTTTATTATTTCGCCGTTGAGAATTTTTTGATTAAAATACAAATACGAAAATTAAGAAATATTAATTAGAATCAATTAAATAAATAAAAACGAAGTATATATTTCTGATTTTATTAACGAGTGTTTCTAAATTGATGTGAAAGATT